AGCACTTAAAAAAATAGAACCAAAAGGGATATGGAGTACAGGTTACGTGCAATATTTAGTATTAGCCTAGAACTAAAAATGTTTGAGGATAAACAGGCTTGTCATTTAAAAGTGAGACTGACAGCAACTCAGAAAAATTGTAAACATGCTTGCTGTTACAATTTTAATCAGTGAAATGTTTTCTCATGTGGCCTAATTTTGCTTGCTTCTATTTTCTGGACTGATTTTGTATTCCCCAATTTTTCTTTCCACAATGTTTACATACAAAGAACAACTGTTCTCCAGATATTAAGGCTAAATTCTTACTACAAAATTTTAATAATGGCCATCAGCCAAGCTGTCCATGAGTGGATAAAAGGTGATTCTGTGTCAATATTGATTGCTTTAGGACAGTGATAATTTTTTTGTGTCTTGTTAGCTTTAAGCCTGAATAAAACATAATTTTACTGATGCTATTTTTACTATAAAGTTGATTTCTTCTATCTTTTCAAAATATATGAAGTGTTTGTAGTACAAGAATGAATGCAGTGGGCCTTTAAGCTACATATGTCTGGACAGAAGCTTTGCAAGCCTTTTGAAGTCTTAGAGAAATAAGAGGCATTTACACTGTCACATGGTGACACTTAATTGTCATCTTCACCAGGTCCCAGCAGTATGATCTCTTGAGTCCCCAGTCCTAGTGGTACATGGAAAGCAGAGATGGATTAGCTGTTTATTGAAAGTGACTTTGCATGCACTGGAAAGTTAATGAGGGTAGCAACGATGTTTTAAATCCTACACTGTAGGGATATCCAAACCAGTATAAATTCCTGTTACAAGCATTTTAGTTTTAAGACATCAGAATAGAATTTGCACTTGTTCGTCTTCTGAACAAGCATAAACAACAGAATACTGACTAGAATACAAATGCATTAGCTAAAATAGATTAAGGACCTAAAATATTATATTATGTTTATAGCAAAATATCTGTGCAATGTTATAATTTAATCTTTATTTGTACCTATGTATCTTATGAAAGTTGAACTGAAGTGGTATTTTGCAACAATAATAAATGCTGAATTCTCTACAAAGGAGACTGGTTAAAAATTCATTACAGTGGTAGTGTTTACTGAGCAGTGTTTTTGTTACTGTTCTACACAGCTAGTTTTGAGATCTTGGTGTAATCCTGATTAAGCAAAGAAGCTCCAAATCAGATTATACATCTGGTGGCAATTAGATGGAACCTGGGAACATAGTATTTCCACTGGAAAAAGAAAAAAAGTCCACATTCCATGGCATAACTAAAATACAGTTAAACATAAATCTCCTGTCTCTTCCTGAACTATATTCACACACATTAAAAGTCATGGCCTTTTTTAATGTAGAAATAAATAAGGCCTCATGGACAACAAAACTCCTTCAGACTGTCATGTTTTACTGACTATTGTTAGAGAAACTGTGCAACTATTTTCACTGAGTTATCTGAATAAAGAAAAATATGGGAGAATCTTTAGCACAAAGAGAATCAACTTGAGGAAGTGAGTGAGCAAAAGCAAGAATTAGTGGTAGCTAACAATTAGAGATATTTAATAAATAGTGTCAGATGGTGAGAGGTAGAACCTCCATTTTTAACATATTAAATTTTTTATCCCTAAAGAATTTAGTTTGGATGATAAGCCTACTCTGACAACAAGGTAGATTAGATAACTCACATTCCCCACCCACATTTTTATTTTATGTGGTTATGTGACTCTCTTGAGCAGTCTAAGTAAATAGAAAATTATACAAATGAAATATTTAATAGGTAAATAGTGTTTTAATATGACAGGACTTGCTGGATGAGATGTTAGACATTCTGTTCTGAGCAGTGGCAGTCTGTGGTGAACCTGGACTGGTGATTCACATTAGCTGAGATTAAGCAAGTGGATTATGATGTTTTTCCTGGCTGAGCATACTTGAAATAAGACTAAGAATGTTGTTTCATGCGGCATAGACAACCACATGTACAATTTATAAATCTCTGAAAACAAGTTATATTCTCTTTTATTTACATAGGACTGTGGGTGAGTATGATAAAATTGTTAAGTCATGCTTATCAGCTGTATAGCATTGAAGGTATTATGTATTTAGAACAAAGTGTTCCACTTAGTGTCTTTTGAATTTAGATTTGCGCATGAATGTTGTGGTGGTTTTGTTTATAGAATTTAGGGAAAGATTAAATTCTGATTTCTGTTTGATTTTATTAGAGAATAAATTCCTCAGCATTTTAGTTGCCAAAGTATTTTAATAGACATCCTATTTCCTGTAATATCACCTATTTATCAATTTTAGAATAATATAGTTTAAGTATTGATAGTATGTTTGTGATTAAATGAAGGTATTTTATGGTGGCTTGTAATATGAAAAAGTAACTTCCATAATAAGTTGATTGTTCATTGTTGAAATGTTTTCTATTTGTAAAAGGTAATAATAAGGTATCTAAAAGATGCAGAAGCATTTTTGCTATTAAAATTAATGTTATAATCATGGTATGCCAAAGAAAGTCTTATCATCCATTTTGTTAAGGAAAACTTATTTTTCTTATTTTTGTACATTCAAATTATTTTGTGTTTACACTGAAAATTGTCTTTTTTCTTTATTGATATGTATTTTTCATCTCTGTCTTGGATTTCAGTATTTCCACAGTGTCAAGACTAAGTATAATAATTAGCTTTATGTAAAGTCTGCTTCTCTTTCAAATACTGATGTTTATGTAACTGAATGTTTTCCACAAGCACAAATATCTAGAACAGCTTCTGAGACTCTAATTCTAAAGTGATTAACATCAGTGGTCTCTTGAGAAAATCCACCTATTTTATCTCCTGTAAGAGTGAATAATCGAATCACACAGTTAAATGAAATTCCACTCAATTTTCACAAAGTGTAAGAAGCACAATAGAGAGCAGCTGAGGAGCTGTGATGGTTCATTTCTCTCTCTGGCCATTGTTGATAACAGAGCTTTTCCCCAGAGATCCTGGACTGGGCTCTCAAACTCCATCTTGGCCAGCTGAAATGGGGTAACATGACATTCAGTTCACTCAAGAAATTCTGTCATTGTGGCTTTCACTTAAGTAGAACATTTGGTCTGCAAAGAGAGTAGGAAAGTTTGTGTTGCAGCTAGGAACAAAAATGCCCTTATAGATTTCCTCTGGGCAGATCCAGCTAAGCAGAATGAAGCATGAAATGTCTGGTTCAAATTGTGTCCCTAGTCTAAACTCACTAATCAACCTCTCAATATAGAATTAGAGAGAAAATTTACTCAGCTAATGAGTAGATCTGCTAAAAAAAATGGACAACTGTAGCTCTCAGTGGTTTCAGTTGAAATGGGGCTCCTCCCTCCTACAGAAATAAGCCATTTCAGTAGCTGGGTTGTGTAAGCTTCTGCAGCCAACCTTCTTGCTTATTCCTTAATTAAATGTTTTTTTTTTATTTTTCATTTTTAAGCTTTTAAAATGTATTTATTTATTTAAAATTGAATTGTGATTATTCAATTCATTCTTCGAGTACATCATTCTAGTGCAGACCTGTTGGGCTATTTTTTAGTTTTAGTACTTAGAGGAGTATATTTTACAGCAAAAATTATGTCTTATAATGTCTTATATTTCTTCCTGTGTTCTGATCAGTGCTCAAAATAATTAACTCTTAGTGAAGGCAAAACACCTGAGCTGAAGCAGTGTATTATTGCACTTCAGCTGAAGCAGTATTGGAAAAGCTGTAAGAACACAGTAAGATAAAATCTTGTCAAATCTTATCAACTTTATTTGAACCTTCACTGTCTTGAAGCATAACATCTTCTTATCATTTTCAGAATTGATATGTGCAGTATTGAAATAATCAGAATACTGTGTTTCATAGCGTCATTAAAAAATACATGGTAACCAGAGATTGTTCCATTACTCAATATGGCAACTATATTAAGATTACATCATCAAAAAATTTAATTTATTTTGATGACAAGTGTTCCCTGAGCTGCTACGTAGCTTTTCAGTAAAGTCTACGAAAACTGTTTCCTTGAGGCTAGTTGACAATTTTTACCCTGTGTTCTAGTGAAAGTAAACTAATCATTAAGATAGTTATTTTAGTCACTTAAAGGGTTGTCATTACAGTATCTATAGTTAGATTGGATTAAAATGGAAAGATTGGTGCTCTATTTATAATCATGAAGACTATCAATATGGTTGTCAAACATAATTTGTTGTTTATAAGACCAGTATTTAAATGTTTTCATTTCAAGGCTACTTCTCCTGAAGAATACCTGAATTTTCTGTGTCCTTTTGAGGGACTTAAAGGTTTTTCTTTTGCTAAAAATGCCTTATTTTATCAGTAGTTTTTTCTTCTCAGTATAAATACAACTGTGTAGTAAATATGTGAGACAAAAAACTTGTAATAGAAAAGCAAATAATATGTCAATTTATGATAAAACTTCACTCTAACACATGTTTTGGGCCTTATTATGGTATAGTTATGTAAATCAGGAGATTTTCTCTATTTCCATGGTTTGGCTTGATATGAAACTAGTGTATAAGATCAGACAGAATTGCATTGTCTTTCAGTTTAGCTATTTTGGACTAAAAAAAGCTTGTACCAAAGGACAGATTTCTTTCTCCTAGTAAGGACTTTTCTTAAATATCTTAAATGTGAAATGTCATTAGCTTCATGCTTAAAGGATGGACTGAGAAACCACCTCCTTCTAAGAAACTGTCTCTTGTACCAAAACGATAAGAGATTTGAAATTACACTGGAGAGTTTGGGGAATACTTGCAAGTAGAGCTATGCTAACTTAATCTGACAGTATTGGAGTCTTTGTGAAATTTAGTGATAACAGCTTGAATGCATTTAAATCCAATGATTTTTGGCACAACATGCTGCTGTTGGTTTCTCATAAATCCTCTTCCTGCACCTTTCAAAATGTAGATCATGTTTTTACTAGTGACAGAGAAAGTTTTACATTCATCTTCTCTTTCTTCCAGATTGCTGTCAAAATGAGTGAAACACCTTCAAGCAGTTACTCAGCGAATCATCCAAACTCCTCCGAGAGCGAGCAGAGCTTATCCACGCGCCATTTCAATGTTACTGAACCTGTTGTGGCAAAACGGATTTGTTTCTATAAAAGTGGAGATCCCCAGTTTAATGGAATCAAAATGGTAGTTAATAGCAGGTCTTACAAGACATTCGATGCCTTGCTGGATAGTTTGTCCAAACGGGTCCCATTACCTTTTGGAGTAAGGAATATTAGTACACCAAGAGGGAGACACAGCATCACCAATTTGGAGGATCTGGAAGATGGAAAATCCTATATTTGCTCCCATCAGAGGAAAATGAAGCCCATCAACCTGGAACAGGCCAGCAAAAAGCCACTGCCCTGGCAGATCAGCAGGCCTGTCAGCGCTCGTCGTCGAGCTGTGCAATTAGCAAGGCAGAATGAAGATGGGTTTGGCCACCGAGAAAGCAGAATAACAACTCCCAAAAAGATGCTTGTTTTCAAAAATGGGGATGTAAGACTTAGGCGCACCATAGTTCTGGGAAAGAAAAATACACAAACATTTGAGGCCTTTCTGGATTATATAAGTGAGTTAATGCAATACCCAGTTGCAAAGCTCTATACCACTGATGGCAGAAAGGTGAGAAAAGGGATGAGTACTGACATTTGTTTTGTGATTTATTGTAGATTATTGTAAATAAAAAAGAAGTTGTATCCATGATTGAAACACGGTCCTGATGTATGAGCTGATGTGCTAAATTTCATCTGTTTGCTTTCCATGCTTTTTACCAGTTCAGAAGGGCTACTGGCTTGGAGGAAATATACTGGAATCTTGGGAACAGAGAGAAGTTAGTGAGGACACATTTCATTTTAAGGAAAAATGAAAAAACACTTTATTTTCTCTTACTCAGGCCTCTTTAAGGCATGCTCCCAACTATATACTTTTACCCATTTACAAAAACCTTCTTTTTGTCTTAATGTTGTTTATCTGGGATTTTAATGTTTTAGAACATGATAAATAGCATCTAATGTCTACAGGTACTTTTATCATTGCACAAATGCAGAGTGGTTTGCCATTAATGACTTAGAACTCTGACACCTTTTTGCCTATTATAGTTTCAAACCATGGGCCAGCTTCTCTACCTCTAAACTCAGATGGTGCAGCACTAATAATTCAGATTTTAGTCTCATGTGCTTTTGTATAATTTTATGTCAGTGATTTTTCTGTCTGTTGTTTAACCACAGGAAAACACTTATGGTTACATTTAGCAGGTATCTAGAAAGAGAAATCTGTGCAGAACTCAGAGAGTTCATAAGACATCTCCTGTTTACCATTCACTTTTTGAAATAATGTATTAGGTTGGGAAACTGTTCATATTACCTACAAGTTAGTGAAGTACGGTTTGTAAGCATTAATTTGCAATGTATTTTGGAATATGCAGTCAAAATTGTCAGACAAGGCTCTGAGCATCTTGATCCAGTCAGATCAGCTTTGAGTAGAGGGTTAGACTTCATGACCTCCAGAGGTCTTTTCCAAAGCTTAATACTTTGTGATGGTGTCCTATGTCCTTTGTAGAAGTATGAGTCAACTGCTTGTGCTGTATTCTGAATTTTTCCTCCATGTCTTCATATGTATATCTACTTCCAAATGCATATTTATATTTCATGACTATGAACTGTCACTGTGCAACAATGAAACAAAATTCCATGTGTAAACACTTAAATTGTAAGAAAATTTTGATCTGGATCCAAGTTGCTTCTTGAAGTAATTATCCAATATATTTATGTAACAAGATATATCCTCACAGAAATAGAATTGCCTTATAGGAATTGAAAAATTAATTCCGTGCTGTGATACATATTTAATAGATATTTAATAGTCTGCTGCAAATGAATGTAGAGACTAAGGAGAGAAGATATTAAAGCTTGAAAGGGATGAATCTTTTACACTATTTTTTGGTGGTTACTAAGGCAGAGAATTTAATGTTACTTTTTTTTCCAGGTTCCTAATCTTCAGGCCTTGATATTGTGCTCTGGAGCTGTAGTCGCAGCAGGGAGAGAGCCTTTTAAACCAAGCAATTATGAATCTCTTGGGTATTTGAGACCTGCTAAATTCCTTGGAATTGGAAATCGTGTGTACCCAAAAGTAAATGCCAAGTCAGAAAGTGAAAAGAGTAAGTTCTTTGAATTAATTTGTATTTTATTAATTTATCTCTCTTAGCATAAGACATAAACAGTGTCAATTTTACTAGGATCAAGGATATTCAGAAAGGCCAGTTGAAACTGTTTATATCTGATGTGACTCCTCTATAAGCTTATGAAAGATCAAAGTGTCAATTTTGTTTTTAAAATGCAAGTTTCTGCTAAGTACTTAGCTAGTATGCATATTTTGTTTCTGATAGACTTAGAAGATGGATGAAAATTTACAAGTATATTTCACTTTAATTTGTTTGATTGCCATTGTTATTAATTTTTTTGTGTCAGAATGAAGAACAACAGTGGTAAAAGTAAAACCTCAGGCTACTTCAGGCTCTCATTGAATTGCTTGGGCAAAACTTTTGTTCAGTTTTCAGAACTTAACAAGTGGAGATTTGGCTTGTCACGACTTACTCTTCTTCTCTTGTCACATGCTCCACATAAGTAGGAAAAGTAGCATAGCATCCATCCACTCAGAAATTCATCATGTTTTTGAAGCTGCTTTTGACCAAACAGAATATTATTCAGTCCTATATCCTTATAGCTGTTATATATTTTTTTAAAATAAGGTTAGGAAAAGATACACAAGTATATGCTTTCTCTTTGATTACTCACTGAATTGCTTCCCTGATAAGATCAGGAAGAGTGTGAAGTGGCCAGTGGATGATCAAGAGCATGAGGAGCTCTTGCAGAGAAGCCAGATGAATAGCCTGAGGAAACTAAAGCCAGATGAATAGCCTGAGGGAAATGAAATGCTGCAGTATCAGAGCTTTAGGTCCTGTGGGAATTCCTGACATTAGAGCATCCTGGCAGGCTGAGGTACTGTGTCCAGGATCTTCCTTAACCCAGAGGTACTCTTGCTACAGCTTCATGCTGTACTGGAGAACCAGGGAGCTCTGTAATTGTTACTGTACTGGGACTTTCTGCAGTAACCCTGACAGTATCATGGAGCATTTAATATATGACATTTGATTTCCATTTGCTTGAGGGAGTTCCATTCACATTCCTTGCACTTTATTATCTCCCCACCAAGCTATTAATTTTAGTTTTTTTCAGCTTTCATGTACTTTGACTGGCACAGCTTGAAACCTGTTTGCAGAGCATAACTAATGAGGCAAGAGAGAATGAGTAAGAATGAAAGTTGAGAATGAAAGTTTTGCAGAAACAAAAATCCTACCTAGATTCTGCTTTGAGACAAAGACTGAGTCTTGCAATTGTAGAAAAACTGAGTTGTTGAATCTGATTATCTCCGGCTTCTAATTCTTAGTCAACAGCAATCACAAAAGGAGGGAGGAAAAAAAAACCCTCTTTTTGTCTTCAACCTGAGAATTTAAAAAATATCAGGTGTAGGAGATAATCTTTGATGATATAAAAGCATGGAAAATGAAATTTCATCATCTTTGTTCCAAATTCATTTCCTGAGAGAGTAAAGGTGAGACTTTTTCTTTGTGAAGCAAAAGTTCTGGTCTGTGTTAGAGGAATTAGTACAAAGTTCTGTTTCTTATTTAGTTCATAGTAAAGCATATGCTTGAGAAGCTTGCAAAGCCATTTGTCTGAAGTTATAAACAAGCTTCTGTAACAGTAATATACTACTGGAAAAGTGAGACCAATTAAAAAAAACAAACCAACATAAATTCAAGAAATGTAGATAAGTTAATATTACATGTGTTAAAATGCTTTTTGCAAGTGAAACCTATGTATTAAGTGATGGATTATATATATATTTAGATATCAGTAGCAATTGTTCATACCTTTGTGTGGGTGTACCTGCACTGTTTCCCTTGCACACACAGAAGGCCTTGGAAGACAGCAAAACTTTATTCTTATGTTCTTTTAGCTCTCAACTCTTCAGCGGCAACTGTGAGGGAGAGATAAAATAAATTTTTTAAAGACCCAAGTTATTGCATAGTAATCAAAACATATTGTGGGAATATATATTGTGTATGCTACCAGGTTTTGTGCCACATTCAAAAATCACTGAAGTCTAGAAGTATTCTCATAGGCTTTGCTGAGTTTTGCACCATTGTCTGCAGTACATATACACAAATGTGTTCCAAAATGTCATGATTTAACTTGAGATTTTACAAGAAGTTCAAGAACTTCAATGTTTACTTCTTCACAGAAGGATTGGATATGAACCCTTTCCTCACATGTTCATGACATTACAAAGAGTAGTTATTCTTGTACTGTAGATTGTTAGATTAAGCCCAAGGACATACATATTGACCTTGACTGACATGTTTTAGTACTAACTGTAAGAACTAATTGGAAGTGATATATTAATGATCACCAAAGCATGAAGAGGAAGTAAAGCTGGTAGCTTGAAGCCCAAACAAGTGGGCACCTCTGAATCCCTTGAAAAGCTCAAGGCAACCTCATCTCTTAATTAAGTATAAAAATGAGTAAAGTAAAGTATGACACTTTTAAAAATAAAAAAGTATAATCTTTTTTAGACTTTGGAGCTTCAAATAAGACTGTAGTTCTGGCATTAGAAAGAACTTATTGTAAAATAAAAATAAGTTGACAAGCATTTAACTCCTTAATTCTTTATTAAGACTTTCTTACATATCTTTCCCTGAAAACTTCATAGATGAATAGCAAGATTACCCATTTTTTTCTGTACTTTCTAATGCAAAAAAAAAAAAAAGTATGTAAAATAACAAACTTCATTAACATCTTTAATACTAATTTTTCTCCTTTCTTCTTTTTCATTTGTTGCCTGTCTGCTATCTCATCATCTGGATCCTTATCCATGATATTTGTCTGCTCTGCTTTCTGTCTACTGAATGAATCTGTGCTCTTTCAATGTAATTATTGGTAGTGAGAACTGAAATGGACTCTAGTTCAAGATCTCAGATATTCTCAGTTTGTTCTGATAAAGGATCCAGCAATGATAACAACTCAGAGTCTTCCTATGTTCTTGACAGCCATAATGGGATAGGAGGAAATCGGTCAGTTATTGGTGAAGATTTATCTGTGTCACGGTATCAAGATGACATTGAGAAATCTGTTCACATTAATCAAGATGGCAGTATCACAGTGGAAATGAAAGTTCGATTCAAAATTAAAGAGGAAGAAACCATTAAGTGGACAACCACTGTAAGTCGTGCTGGACTTTCTGATGACAAAAACATCTCCATTTGCAATTCTTCTGCAATGAAGGTGGAAGACTGCTCATCCAATGTAAATATGTCAGATTGTAAGAATCCAAAAGATGCTCCATTTTTGAAGAGCTGCAATAAAGAAGGGGAAGACTTATTACAGCAATCCAATGAGGAAGTGTCAGAAAAAGAATCAGAACCTGATTTGAAAACTGCTGATTGTAATGTCTCTAAGAACAATTCTGCAGATTTAGATGTAAGCAATGTACCTGAGGAAAATATTAAGCCTCACTTTTATAGGCCTCCCACCCCTGGGCCAAGGCGTGTTAGACAAAAGAAAGCAGTAGTTGAAAGTGTCACCTTGGTATCTGAGAAAGAGGTTCAAGAGAAGACAATAGGACAGTTTTCCTACAGTGAGGAAATAGAGAATGGAGAAAAAACATCTGAGTATTGCATGGTAGCTCATTCAAGCAGAAAAAAATCAAGTGTCAGTAATCCAAAGTTTAATGAGGTCAATGACAATGCTTTATTAAAGATGTCTTCAGAAAATATAAAGGAAGAAATGCTTTTTAAAGTAAGCCACAAAAGTAGTGAGTTAATAGAAACCACAAATAGGAAGATATTAGAAGTGCCTAATGAGAATGAATTGGTACAGAATATATTGGAGAAATCAGCTGTGGGACAAGGTGCATATAGTAGTTTAGTATCAACCTCCAAAGCCAACATCAGTGGTTTCACACCATTGTCAAAAACTTACCAGACAGCTAGACCAGGTACAGCAGATCACATCCACAAGTCATGTGATATTAAACAAATAAAAAGGTCAGTGAGTTCTTTCATTACATATTCAGAATTATGTCAGTCAAAAGAAGAAATAAAATGCCAAGCTGCTGATTTAGTAGGTGTTTCTCAGGATTCAGTGCATCCAGCCTGTGCTGGGCATAGCCAGAAGAAAGTGATGGCACCTCCATGTAGTAAGAGTCCGACTGAGAAAGTAAATCAAACAACTGGATTCTTTCCTACTGTTACTGAAAGTGAGACTCAAATCAATGCCAGGACTGAATCTGTGATGACAATGCCCATTGAGAATAACCAGCCTGCCTCATCCCTCACCAAAAATAAGAAGAAGAAAAGAAAATCATCTAGCTTTCTAGAGGAAGGTACATATGAAAGTCAAAAGCATCAAGAAATTTCAGGGATGATTAGAAGTGAGGGACTTCATATCACACAGGATTCCACAACAGAGGCTATGGATAAATATTCTGAAATGCCTCAGAAAAAAGGATCTGATTATTTTGTAAGAAACAATGATGGGTCTGCCAATTCAGACAAAACCATACATCCTGAAGGTGAGTTCAATCACCAGGATTTGGTGGAACAAAATGGATCACCGTCATCATCATCTAACAAAAAAAAAAGAAGTAATAACAAGAAGTTAGCCAAGGTAAAATTGAAGTCAGGCAAAAAAAGCAGTATCATTTCAACTGCAAAGAGTGAAGATGGTCTAATAACAGCTGATTCAAACAATGAATCTAAACACAGTCAGGATATGCTTAATACTGAGAAAGAAGGCACGCATCTTATGACCAGTTCTTTCAAGCAGACACTTAACTCATCAAAGCTATTGTCAGAAGTGCCAAAAAATCTTAACTTTGAAAAAGAAAAGAATAATTTGGAACATTTGCTATCAAAGAAAGAGAAAAAGCAAAAGATGAAGAAAAATCTAGGTAAAGGTGTAAGTAAGAAAAATATGTTAGAAAGTGCCATTACACTAGAGGCTCTAAACCAGGAGTGTTTTCAAGAGAATGTTGTTGAGCATTCACGTGAAAACTACGTCCAAACTTGGCTGAAAAATTCATTCTCAAACTCTGTCTTACCTCCTATAAAGAAAAGAGAAGGGACTGCAGAGAATAGCAATGCCTGTTCTTCTCCTAAAGAAAATACTGATGCCTCTATAGAAAAAGAAGCTAGATTTAACACAAATAATATGCATGTAACTGGAAAAACACTTGGAGATAACCTAACAAGAAAACCATTAACGCCTATTGGTAAAGTGGGAATTCCAGAAGACTCAGACAAAGATTCAGATGAAAGACAAACTGACTCTTTGATTCATTCTAATGCATCTGTACTAGAAGAAGCCAAGTATTTACTAAAGGCGGAATTTCATCAGGATAGTAAGCTACATTTGTTTCATGAAGCACATGACAATGATAAAAAGATGGCAGAAGTTGACATTCAAGTTACCAACCTATGTCAAATAAAAAGATCTGAAGTTGCTGTTCAAGCCGATTGCACAATTGTTAGTGAGAAAATTGGAATTGAAGTTCAGAATAACTGCATGTCTAACATGTTGCTGCATGAACTTCAATCAGCTTTGCTTGGTCTGCAGAAAGGACATAGTGGATGCGTTGGAAAATCTTGTGGGTTTTCAGATCTTTCTCCTGCAGCTTTTGGTTCTTCCTCCAATGCCCTCCTAGCTTGGCTACTTTTACTGAATCTGAGAGAGAGTTTGATTGGGACAATCACTGACAATGCGCAAAAAAATCCCTGTAGTTGTTCTGAAATCTTTACGCAGTTAAAATGTCTGAAACAAACTGCAGCTGTAGACCAAGCTGATGAGCTGAAGACTGTATTCTCACATCTCCAACAATCAACAGAAAATAACTTATTACACTTTAGGAAAGAACCTGAAAAGCAGGGCTCCACACATGAGAATATGCCCACATCGGAAATTCCTAATGATACACATTTGCATGAACATGAAGAATCAGTTGAGCCTTCTATTGCAATGGGCAGTGTCAATTCTGAAGAAGCTTTAAAATTAACTGGGGAATCAGAAAGCTGTTTTGATATAGAGAGGGATTTTTGTAAAGAAACAGAGACTTTAGACATGACTGCTCCCAAAACACAAGTAGATGGTCAATATAACAATATGATTTCAAATACCTGTAGCCTTCCATCAGCTGTAGAGACACCAGAAAGAAATGAAGAAATGCCTGGTAATTTATATGAAAAAACTCAAGATACCTCATTCATTAATGAAGAGTCAGAATCTTCAGTAGAACCTAACTCCACAGTTCACAGTGTAACTTCTAATGATAACAACTGTATTTTAGATCAGGATACTTCTGAGTTAGAAGGTGAAAAAGGCATTGTACCTGTTAGTACTGATAAAAGTGAAGATGAGGATGTTGATTCAAAGTCAGCAGATACTGACAAAACACCAAAACACCAACTTACACTAGATGCTGAAACCTCTGTAGAATGTAATAATGAGGATTATTCTGTACAGGGTGACAAAGAAGATGCAGAAATATCTGAGGAAACCTCTGACAGGTTATCTACAGTGTCTCCATTATCATTTCGTTATGAATCAAAGCAAATTACAGAATGTGACATGACCGAGGGAGAGCAGAAATTACAAGTAGAAGAACTGGAGAATAAAATGTGTTCTGACGCCTCTCAAGTTAAAAAGTGCTTAAAAAGTCCTGCTACTTCAGACTGGTCAGATTACAGACCAGATACTGAAGAGAGTGATAATAACTTTAGGGCATCCAGTGACTTGACCAATGAAAGTGGAGAGGAAGCACTTGAAAAACATTATAATACTGGCTATGTAAAGAGAACTATTGAAAGACTCTATGGCAAGACAGAAGCTTCATTTAAGCCTGACTTTCACAAAGGATTTCCTTATATGTCAAAAGTATTTCAAGCAGATACTGAAGGATTCCACTCTGCAGTGGGGGAAAAAATAATTTATTTTTCTCAAGAATCTATGTCTTGTTCTGCAGAGAAATTGTCGCACTCCTCACTACCATCACAAGACTATCCAGTCAAAGAAAACACAGATGATAGTATATCAAGAAGAGAAAATACTCCTTTACCAGCACCACAATCTGCTCTTAACAGAGAAGAGACAAGTTATACTAATGACCATTTAGGGGAATCTCCAAATCAACATTGTCAACCTATCATTCAGGCTAGTGAAGACGAAGGAATATTGATAGATAAAGGCAAATGGCTTCTGAAAGAAAATCATTTGATAAGAAGATCACCACCTGAACGGATTGGAATGTATGGTAATTTGGATACAACATCAATTGAAAGTGATGAAGTCCCATACTCTCACTTTGGCAATCTGGATCAGTACCCCGCCCTTGATGAGATACCTTCTTCAGAACTTGAAGACATGGTAAAACCCCCTGAAAATTTTTGCAGCTACTTCAATATGCCTCATAATAGTGATTCAGACCCCTTGCAGGATGAGTCAAATATAAAAGGCAAACCTAGTCGCAATGGTAAGATCCTTCCTGTACCAAACAAAGACAATACCAATCCATCAAGCATGGTAGGTTCTACTTCCACACAGGCTGACACCAATTTTTCAGCCTTTTCATCTGTAGAATTTAGATTGCCTGATAACAAGGTGCATCCATTGGAAAAACCTTCAAATGCTGTACCCATACAGTCTCAGCCAACAAATGTTAGTAATGTTGATAGAAGTGCTCTTCGTGAAGAAGATTCTCTGGATAGACTCCATGCGATATGTGGCCAACATTGTCCAATTCTGATGGTAACAGTAACACCAATTAATGAGGAACAGAGAGGATATGCCTACCAAAAGGCATCTGATATTGAGAACCAGCTGGGTTCATATTTGTTGGGCAAAAAGAGCAAACATTTAGAATGGTCAGGTCAAGACTTGACAGACAAAAATAATCATGTGTTTTTGAAGAATAACTCTATCAATAAGATTGTCAATAATATCTTTAAAAGGTTTTATGCTGATAACACCTTAGATTTTATTAGTAATTTTGGGATACTTGCATCCTCAACTTTGAAAGATACAAATATTTTAGGGGAGTTACAGATAACAAAGGATATGAATACAAACCCCATGGAAGCCAGAAATTGTCAAAACAGTGTATCCAAACACATACCCAGTGATCTTATCACAGGCACAAATACTGAGCTACCCAAAGGAAAGACATGTCAAACCTTAAGAATAAATTTAATTTCTATTGTTGTAGAAAAATGTTCTCCCATGTTGGCAGATCCAGAAGAAACCTGTCATTCTGAAACATTTCTGAGGTGTGACACTTCCTTAAATAGCATTGAACATAAAGCCTCTGAAAATCTGAAAAACAAAAATGCCTTTCCTACAGAAGAAGACAAAGAAGTAGTTTGCTCTTCTACAATGAAAAGTGGAAACGGTAAAAATGAGAAAGACTTGTAATAAAGATCATTACCTTAGTGAAAACATCTTTAGAAAAAGAAATCACATAATAAACTGCTGAACGGTGCAATCAATAAAACTCCCAGTGTGAATAACTAGATAGAAATAAGTTGCAATTGTATACCAGTGATGAAATAGAAATATTAATTAAACTTTTATGGGACCCACCCTACGAAGAAAATTGTTCTTCTAAGGCAATGATTTCTTGGCTAGGAAACAATTTTTCACTGAAATATGAACTGTGAAGAGGTAGTTGCATACCAATCATCTAATTTTAGAGAAATGATGGCTGCTTTTTTCAACTGAGAACTGAAATTTGTAATACGTGCCCAAGCTTTAAGATATGATATTGATATTCCAGGACATTAGAGGAGATTGAAAACTGCCTTTCAGTAGAAATGCTTTTCCCAGAAGAAAATCAACTGATACGTTTAATTTTAAATGAAAACTAGGAAGTACTCTTCAAATGCTGTAATACAATAACAAGTTGGAAAGAGAAGCCACGCTAATTTTATATGATATACATTATAAAATTGCTGTTTGAGATTTTAAAGGCCAGCTGTAGAACATGTATGTGAGTAAATAGATTTTTCCATGTAGGAGCATCCAGACACCAAATAAGGAGGCCTCTTTTTCTCAGAGGACACTAGAAAAGGGGCATATTTAGGAAGTGAGAATGGCAACTGTCAATGGATTTCCCGATTGCTCTTGCCATATTTATTTCCTTCTGAAACAGCACCACTTACTCTTTAAATTGTTCTACATACACTTAAAGTTTTAGTTGTGTGTTCTAACTTAATCTCTGTCTGTACTTTAGAGATTGTATTTGTGGTTTTGTTTTATTTTGGGTTTCTTTTTTTGTTTGATTTTTTGTAAATATGTTGAATTTTGAGAATCCAAGGCATATGCAATATGTTCCAGGATCTTTCAATCTGTTGTTAGAGTTTGGATACTTGTTTACAGCATTTTTTTAATACTGCATGTATGTAGTAAGCACCTATGGTTTACAATTTTCAGTAAATGATGTTGCACATGAAATTGGAAAATATTTAAGGTATTTTGTGGTTAGGGAGAGTGTTTAGGTTTTTTGGTTAGATCTTATTTCCTAATACTGCACAGTGCCCCTCTTCATTGTTAATGAAGTCAGAGATATACCTGAAAAAATAAAGTGTTGCTTTTCAGGTAAAGAATGGCCATTCTGTACTCTTGAAGACTCTGTCTCGAATAACTAGCATGTGCATGCTGTGATAAGTCCTGGGTCATGATCCTTTGGTTATCCAAAGGGACCTAATAAAAGGCTGATGCAAATTCCTCTTGGCCCAGAGCCCAAGATTATGTCTATGTGGGACAGAAGGCGCTTGGAAGGGAAGTAGAAGTTGGATGTGAAGCAAAAGGGGTTTGTAGCACAGGTAGGAAACCTAGAAGCACTGCTTAGTTTTTTTAGATGTCCAGTGGCTGATATATTCCCTCCTAAATAAATTATATATTTCTGTTGTTTGAAGTGGTGTCTACTATGTAATAAAATAATAACTCTAAATCAAGATGTATTGTCTAATATATTTTACACCAGATAGCTGTGTGTTATTTCCTATGCTGCCCTTGTTTCTGACATTCCTCTGTCTATCCCCACTTCCTTTGGTGTCCTCCTCCACACGTTTTAGAACTGCTCCAAGTGAGGAATCTCAATGGTATTTTTTCATCCCTTTACATGTTGATACAGAAATAAAACCTTTGTTTGAAAAATGCAACTCAAAATTGCTAGAATCCATCTGTATGTCATACAGAATTCTGTGCTGTAAATAATGTCTAAATTATAGGTAAATTAACAGCTATATATGTCTCCATCACAGTCTTTCTGCTGGATTTACAGCACTCTGTGTTGCATTCACAACACCTCAGTGTTTCCAGATCCAGGTTCAGGAGCCTTCAATCAGATCTTTATTACTGAGTTACTAAAGGTTACTGAGCAAACTAAGCATTGGAACATGAGATGTGAGGAACTCCCTCAGGACACAATTAGCAGGGATCATAGTAAGCAGTAAAATTAATATTAACTGAAAGACTTGGTTTTGATTTCTGTTAACTGAAAGAGAAGGAATAAAATGGTCACCTCAGAGCAGGACAAAAGGTTGACAGTGAGATGTACCATACTGTCATAGGATTTATATATTCATTAGTGGTACAGTGAAGATCAGAGAATTGTGGGATCATTTAGGTTAGTAAAGATCTCTGAGTCCACCCATTAACCCAGAATGGCAAAGTCCACCATTATTAAGCCATATCTCCAGGTGCTATATCTACACATCTAAATACCTTCAGGGCTGGGGACTCAACCGCTTCCCTGGACAGCCTCCAATGCTTGACAACCCTTTCAGTGAAGTAATTTGTCCTATTCAATCTGAAATCCAGTCTAAACCCCACTTGGTGCAACGTGAAGCAAAAATAGAGACTATAAGGTGTGTGAGATGCACAGATAAAATAAGATTGTTTTCATAGTTAAGATTGGAGAAGGCTGAAGAAAGAACCTCGCAATGCTAGAGGAATGCACTGATTGACAGAGGCAAAAACACCATGAGGAGTAATATGAGCTACTTTAATAGGGTAGAAAAGCATTCTGTGAGTATTCTGAGTTTTATAGAGAGTATATCATACATCTGGAAGGAATTCAGTTTTTCTCTTGCCATAATTTAAAAAGAAACAGCCAACATAGCATACAGATCACAGTCCCAGGAACTCTTAGTTTATCTAGTTTATCTGCTTGCTAGAAGGAAATTACACAATTAGGTAAGTAATTCCACTTAGTAGTAAGTCTCATTTTAAATATTTTTCTCTGTAGTCATTACAGCTTCACCAGAGAGATGTTCTAGAGCTTGAGTCCTGCTTCTGATGTCTGTCTTGAATGTTTTCTAATTTCCATCCTCAGCATGCTCATGGTTATTTTATATACATGTGTCCCAAAGTCATCATGGTAATTTACTTTAAAAAGTCTTTTTCCTCGGTATCTATCAACAAAATCAGATATTTTCTCAAGTTTTTCTCCTATATAAATATTTTTTTCTATTTCCTCTAACCTGAAATGTATAAGTCATATTTCTCTTAATTATAAGGATGTCAGAGGAAAAGAAGATAATTTAATTTTTCAATGTATCACTATTAAACAAATACCTTGACTTTTATAGTACTAATAATAGAAAATGTCATTAATCTAATTGCAATGTTGATGCACTGTAAGAGTTATGGGGAATAGTTAATACAATTTTCTCACCTTGTGTCACAGATTAGGCCTAATCAGAACTAAGCCCCACTCAGCTGCTTGCTTAATTCCCTACCAGCAAGATTGGAGAGAGAAAAATAGAGAAGATTCATGGGTTGAGCTAAAGTTTAATAGGTAACAAAAAAAGTGCACACACAAGTAAAGCAAAACAAGGAATTCAATCACCAGCTAATTTGAGCTGAATTAATCATTTGGGTTTCAAGGGGCCTTAAGACCCACCTAGTTCCAGCACCCCTGCAGTTGTCAGGGATACCTTCCACTTAGACTCCATCCAGCCTGGTTTTGAGCACTTCCAGAGCTGAGACGTCCACAGCTTCTCTGCTTAACATATTCCAGTGCCTCACCACTCTCACAGTGAAGAATTTTTCCCTAATCTTTAATCTAAAACTGTTGTCTTTCAATTTGAAGCCATTGCCCCTCTTCCTGTACTACGTGCTCTTGTAAATAGTCCCTCTCCATCTTTCCTGTAGGCTTCTTTCAGTTACTGGAAGGCCACCCTGAAGTTTTCTTTTTTCCAGGCTGAATAAACCCAATTCTCTCAGACTTTCCTCCTAGCAGATCAGCTAGCTGACCTCATCTGGATTTTCTCCAACAGATCAAAGTTCTTCCTGTGCTGGTAAAGCTTCAGTGTGTTCCAAACAAGCTGTTACATCTGTGTAGCTGATCACACCTTTGCAGAGATACAGATCCTTTCTTAAACAGCTCTTTTTCAGTAGAGCTAATTTGCTTTCAGGGTCCCTAATGTTTAAAGTGACGAGTGTCAAGGCTGTCATTACACAGCACTGCATTGAGTAGAGCTAATATATTCTAAGTAAAGAGAACCCCGTATTTAATACAGTATTTCAAAACTGTCATTGAAAGGTGATATCTGTTCATTTAAATTTGACTTGGTCATATAGGACATTTAGAATAAAAGGTATGAATGCCGCCTGATGTTTCTTGACATGCCAAATATAGAAAACTCAATATTTGCCTGCTGTAATTTTGTGACACACATTTCTGTATTCATTGACACATTATTACTTAGAATTTTGATTACCAAATGCATTTTATTTAAGAATCTTGAGTTTAAGTAATTCAGCGAGTCTTTTTATCTTTTGATAGCTAGGAAATGGAATGTGTCAGTCCTCACCAGTGATGTACCATCTGCAGGAACAAGCTCAAAGGTTTATATTACATTGTATGGGGATCGTGGCAGTTCAGGTCCTCTTTTTCTTGATGGAGAGAAGGGAAAATTATTTCAGAGAGGCAATGAAGACATCTTCACAGTAAGTAATATATATTCATTGTGTTGCCCTCTTGCTTCCTGCCAGATCACATGACATTTCAAATTCTGTGTGATAAAAGGCAGCTTTTTGTGTATTGCCTATGTCTAGAAATGAGAAACAAGACTTAAATGTAGAGCTAAATTTAGTATCCTTTCCCACTCACTTATCCAAAATTTATTTGATTCAACATGTTTATTGTCTGTTGAAGAGCAACTACTGTTTTATTTGCATTGTGCCCAAGAAAATTTCAATAAACATACAACAGATACTTTTTTCATTTTCAAATTTGAAACAGGGCTACAATATTAAAAATTAAATGAGGAAGTGAAAAATTAGCATATGGAGTAAAATTTTAACCTTGTTAAACACCTGCTGCTTTATTGAAATAGAGGCAAATTTTATACCTGCAATAAATCTATCTGAAACTACTTCTGCTTACAGTTACACAAACAAATTCTTGCTCAGTCTTATAATGGGTGATTTAGGTGAGCCAGACTAGGTCCTTTATCACAATCTGCATAGCTTTAGTGTGTATATAGGGGCTGTCTACATGTGTCTGTTATAGGGCCATATGACAAACAGATGCTTCCATCATTAGTATCCAGTGTAGCAACTCCCCTTCTGAGAAAAGGTGTTTGATGCCAGCATTGATGAAGAGCTCACCTTTTCCACAGTTGCCTGTAGATGTTTGGGATGCAGGAAGTGCAGTTTTATCCCTTTCCTCAGAAGAATCCAGCACCCCTGATAAAAAAAATGTCATTCTCCATCCATGATATCAAAACCAGCCAGATTGAAAGGAGTGGATAAAACAAGTAAGCAGGTCTGACAGATTAAAAGACCCTCTTCACAGCAGATGTTGTTGGCTGTTTCCTGTTGCCATTACTGAAATTAATTTCACCACTTAAAAGTCACAATGACATTTAAGTGCAAAATATGGAGGACGGTCCATTGTTTGAGATCTAGGATTCCTCTGTTAGGCAAGCACCCATAGCATTGAATACAATTAAGGAGAGCCTACTCTGAAATGTATAGAAAGAGAAAAGGCTCTCTGAGTGCACTATATTTGCACATAACTGTGGTCTGTCCTCGCTGCTCTGCCTCTTTATAATTTATAACACCAAGTTCAGGAAAATCCATGATACAGGTAACTCAGTTCACACCCATCTATACAATGTCAATGAAAACATGCAAATTAATTCTATGGAAAACAACAAGAGAGAAAATCAAGCCTACATTGTAAAAAAATAAATTATACAGTGAGGAAGGAAGACTGATGGTGTACTTCCAGTTCCTTGAAGATAAGCTTTCTATTTCTACACTTAAGTTCATAGTAAGGTTGTTTGAATAACCTTCACATAAAGTTATTCCCTCAGCACCCTGTTATCTGTACTGGTCATATTCATACAGCCTGCCGAACAGCTAATCTTTCAAATACAGCTTTTTAACTTGATTTAATTGAATTGTTTTGTAAAAAGAAGCATCAAAGCTGAACACAATTGTTTCCAAAAAAATTGTAAGGCAGACACTCCTGGAGGGGTAGGGAGAAACTCAGAGGTATATGGGAGCCAAAATAATTTTTGGAGCAAGTTACTAGTATAGATGCTAAACTGAGACAGGTTTTATGGTCAAGACACTTTTGTTTTTTAGTTGTATGTATGGTCTCTATTCATCTCCCACTGAGGCAAATATTCAGCCAGGAATTACTGCAGGAACTTCCTGGATATTTAAATGGATTGGCAGGCCAATGTGATTTTTGAGAGCTCTCTTTTAGAAGACCCAAATATCTAAGAATTATCTGAAGTGAAATATGTTGGAAAGTCTGGTTTAAATGTCAGAATATTTAACTCCTCGAATTAAAAGTCTCACCTTATATTTACTAAATCAATTTCTGTCACATGTGTTTCATAGTTGTGTTTCTTTTACAGGTTAATACTAGGAACATAGGACATCTCTACAAAATTCGTATAGGACATACAAATGCAGGAAACTCCCCTGCCTGGCACTGCAAAGAGGTAAAAGCAATGAGGAAGAATTTTACCTGTCTGAAAGCAGTCACTATGACAGTGGGTTCAAAATATGAATAGAGGAAAAAAATCCCTAGGATTATATTAGCCTCATCAAATGCTTTCACCTTCATTTAAGGGATTACTTATGAAGGAATGGTTTTGTGTGGAGTTAAAGCAGCTTATGATGTCTGGGGTTGCCTGTTTGCAATTTAATATATTACATTTCTTTAAAAATGTGTGGCTGGGCAGCAAGGAAGACTGCTTAACTTAGCTGCTATAGTCTGAGTCTTCTACAGTCTTTGTATGCTACAAAGAATAGTGCCTGGAGTTTGTTTAAACCCTTGAAGTCATGGAACCCAGCCTAGACAAGTCCTCCCCAAATCTGTAGCTGATACCTATGGGTCCCTATGCACAGCACAAGAGTTACATTGCAAATGTTTCTAGTTTTGTGTCTCTGACAAGAAAAAGACAAGAGCTCCTTTTCCCTCCTTATGTAAAAAATATCTTGATGCAGGTTAAGCAAATATAATAAAGCAAAGAGGATGAGCTAGGTGCATTTCAAGGTTTGGTTAGGAAGCATGGTATAGAGGTTTCTGGACTGGAAATTAAAGGATCTGACTTTTATCCTAATATCCAGTGTGATACTATGTATGCCAATTATAGCCTATGCATGCCTGAAAACCTTCCATCTTTGTGGCAGAGCTTCTTATCTTTCAGTTAAGAGACTGCAGTTTATGAAGAGTTTTAGAAGCTGCTGGTAAACTCAATGTTTAAGTTATACTTCATGGTATATCTAGATCTATCAAATGCAAAGTGCTCACTGAAGTAAAATATTCATTGATCAGTGCTCAAAATCTGTGGCTATGATGCTTACCTGGGCCCGTGACTCAGAAGGAAGAGATCTGGGAAGTGTTAACTGAAGTTTAGGCAAGATCTTGTGAGTTCATAACTCTAACCAGTTCATGTCTACACTGAAATATTGCCTATCTAGGACTAAACTGTTATCACTCTAAGAGATTTCCTAATAGAATTATAGGGATTATATCTCTTTCAATTCAAGTGATTGATGACTGCTTGATTATAAAACTTAGCTATTAGTTTTCCAGCTGTACTGAGTTTTGGAGACAGACATTTAAAAATGAGACTGAGGAAGTCTAACAAAAAATAAAAGGAAAGAGAAAAAAATGAAAAGTTATTATTAACCTTCTTTCCACCTAGGATATATTAATTGAAATCAACAGTAAAATTTTAAACACTGCAACACTTCAGTGTGTCCACTAGTTATTTATTTATAAATTTTAATTGTCTTTTTATGGAATCTCAGTCAATCAGATACAGATTTTAGGGAGTGGTACCAGTGCCAGGTCATTCCTTCTTTGCAATTTTGGGCAGAAAATCAAAGAAAAGAAAAAAAACCAAAGGAAATACATTCAAACCTTACCGATAGTGTTTTTTATGGTTCAGAGACAAAGGAATACAGTCATTGATTTCTAGACTTCAAACAAGAGGAACAACCTACAGACACTTAGCATCACTGTTTCTTGGGAAACCTATATTTTTTTTGGGATTAACTAAAATGAAAAGAGCATTTTCTACAACTCAGAGCTTTTCTGGTAGTTATGTACATTAGTCCTCCATCAGGGTCCACATGGTTTCTGTGTCTGTATCTGCACTGAGATGATATCAGACCAGGAAAAGGTGCTGCTTTGCTAAGCCAAATTTCCCTTTCAGGTTTCATCACCAGATGCTGACAGGCTAAGGTGTTCCAGGTTTTTCAGATGAGATGATTCTTTGTCTTTAAAGTTTAATATTCAAGCAGCAAAAGAGATAAAAATGTTTCCAGTAAATCTGAGTTTGTTCAATATTCAAATTAGGGAGATTAGATTCTGCAAAGCACAGGGTGGAACTACAAGTAGGAGTATTTTCCCTTCTCTCTGCCGATCCAAAATCTAGTGTAGATACGGGTATAAATTAGCATAATCAGGGACTATTAGAACATACAGCAGCCTCTGAAGTGCTTACTAAGGAATACTTTGAAGTACAAAGTAACCTCTTTTCCTCCTTCAGCGGGTTTGCATATGGTCTTTTTGCTGCTACATGCTTGAACCTGGGCATGGAAGAAAATAATGTAGGGCATTATGTAGGCCTCAATTGGTGCTGGGATTAGTTGGGGCACTTTATGGTTTATTTATGTCACAGGGAGTGCTGAAGAATTACAACCTGCCCCTTTAATTCCTGTTCTGATAAAAGTGTAAGGAATAGAGATACAAGCATTGACAAGCTTCCTGGTGAGAAGTTCTGTCTGTGGTAAGCCATGCCACCTAGTGCCAGCCCCCATGGATGTGCCAGCTGGAACAACAGCTGGAGCTTGTGGGAATGCTCCTGAGCTGACAAAAATGTGTTTCTTGGTTGCACCTGAGTTACTCTGCCCTGAGCTTTCAAATATGACAGTGAAAAGTCAAGTTTGGGCAGCTGGAGCAGAAATGCTCTAAACCCATAGTTTTGTGGTTATCTGCAAAGCTCTACCTGCACAGATTTCAACAGCATCCCACACATTTTATGTTCTGTTCATCTGCTCTGAGATCAGCAAGTTAAATTGGAATTGTTGGTGCTATTTAGGTGCAGTTGCTGAACCTTTTCTCAGGGGAGCAGTTCTCTTTCCCTGCAAACCGATGGCTGGCCAAGGACCAGTCTGATGGAGAAATATCTGTGGAGCTTCCTGTTTTACAGCAGGGTCAGCCTATTCTTCCAGGTAAGCACAATACAACGTCAGCAAAGTCAGACCCCAGACTGTTGTCAGTACAGGTGAGTTCATTATTTTTCATCAGGCCCTCTATATTTTTGGCTGGCACAACACTTTTTCTACTTTGCTTTCTTCTTGCTACTGTGCATATTCCATATGCACAGTATACTGTGTACATTTTAACTGTAAAAAGTTAAAAAGCATTGAAAAGGAAATGAGGGAGACTTTAATGCTTTGAATTTCACATGTTCTTAAAGTGGACTCCTTGTTTGGTAAGATTTTCAGTGTTTATGTTTGGTTTAAAATAAAGGCAATAGTAAAGACATGTCAGACGTAACCACCATGAAGGTAGCATATGAGCCAGATCACAAACTCTGTTTTCAATAACTGAGAATTATAGCTCCAGTGTTGCTATTGCAGCTGCTGTTTAAGTGTCTTTATGGTAGGTGGCTCAGACTTCCAGAATAGTTTTAATTTTTGTATGTGGAATAAAACTTGCGGAATAAATATTTCAGGAGGCTATAAGTGTTAAAATATCCATTATTCACAGAGAGATTGTATTGTAATTCTAAAGGTGAATGATTCCAAAGGATATGAAAATAATTGGGTGTTGCTGTTGTTGCACTGTTTTAGTGTCCTGCTCTACCACACCAGTCCCTGATGTTGCTAATGATCCCTCTGCTTGATCAGTGAAAGGGGGTGGAAAGTCTGTGCTTATTCTTCCTGTCTCTCCAATTGGCATTGTCCTTTTCTGGACAATTTATAAGAAAATTACAAGAGCTTAGCAAGAACAATGTGTCCTGGGAGAGATGTGGGTGAAGGAGCAAGAATGCTGTGGCAGATTCTCATCCTATTGGGGTGTGATGCTAGAGGGAAAAATGCCGTAACACCACTGGTATTACTTGTGCTAGGACTTCACTAGAACAAGATCTACCTGGGACATGTCCTCTTCTCTTCCCCACAAAAGTCATATCAGCTGACGAGGACAAAACAAGATGAGAGAAACTTCCATTCTAAGTTATCTAAAAATTATGAAACCGCTTTTTCAGAGTGTTTAACAATTTATCAGTGCGTTATGGTGTGTCTATGATCCCTTGTGTTGATCTTGCAAAGTTGAAATTGTAACGAGTATTTCAGTGGTAACAGATATTGTGGGTGCAGGCTAGAGGAAGAGGATATATACAAATAAAATCGAGGGGCAAAAGTCTAGAAAATGGTCCATGGATGTGGGATAACATACCTTGGGGCGGTTACTCTTGTAATAAAGAGATGGGTGGCCTGGAGTTATATTTATGCTTCTCTGTGATGACTGAGCTCTGAGATTAAGAACCTGACAAGAAGATCATAAAAAACCAGGTTTGTGCCCCATAAGTATGTTTTAAGAGAAAAAGAATAATGGGAGAGATTTCCCCCAGTACTAGCAGATGTCAATGGCTCATAAGAGAAAGAGAGGCCCATCCACATTAACCAAAATGATTTTTGGTTTTGGGTGGTCATGATCTTCATGACAAAAGAAGCCTCAGACGCACTCAGCCTACTTCCTAACAGGTTTGGTCTTTTTGGTCAGGAGACCAATACTGTTTTTATAGGGGGACATAAAAACACAGTGGTATAAAAGTCAAGTGCCTCCTCACCCCTTTGAATAAATGCTAATTAATGATAATTGACATACTGTATTGAATATACCCTATTTGCAGCGTATTTTCTTCCCTAAATGTTCTCTTGTTTAAATATCCTGAGATGTAGACCTCAGTTGGTTAGCAAATGGTGCTAAAAATGCCAAGATTCTGGATTCAATCCCTATATGGGCTGTTTACTTAAGAATTTTAGTCAATGATCCCTGTGGGTCCCTTCCAACACAGAATATTCTGTGACTCTCTGATCATCTTAATTTTTGGGCTCTTTCTGAGTAGCAACTTTCCTTGTTTCTGAAATGAAGGTACAATAAAAGATTTTTATTATGGAGTAATCTTCATGCATGAAAAGCACAAAGGCATGCTTACAACCAACCTCTCAATCTGCATTTTGTAGTTAACAATTTCTCTCTAACACAAGGGAGGAAGAAAAGAGCTTCTGTGCATTTCTACCAGCTTCAGTGTAAAAGGGGTCATGCAGAAGGCTTTGGAGAAGGCAGTTTCATCTCAGATTAGTAATTGAAAGACGGCCCCTATGTCTTTTTGCAAGTGTTATATTTCTGCATGAGACAGTGTAAAGGGAACACAGCTTTTAACTTCAGAGAAGATAGTTTGATAACAGAACAGTGAAGGGGTCTAGATTCAATGTGAAAGAGAGATGATGAGAGGCACTTTAAAACCAATTTCTGAATAAAAAGAGGCTGAAGCACTCTCTGATTTGACATTCTTTTTTATTCAAAGGAAAAACATGGGAATTAAACTGTTAAGAAGTGTTACATAGAGACTTTGTTGCTATAATGCTGGAGGAATGAGCAGCATTCCTTTGACGTTTTATCCTCTATCATTCTACTTTTTCCCTGTCTGCTCATGGTTTATGACACAGTCATTAATTATATCCTGAGAATAAATCAGGGATACACAGTGTTGGCAGCTGGTGGACCTTTGCTTTTCGTCTTGCAGGAATTTGAAAGTAGGTAGTTATTGAAGGAGGAAATTGTTGTAATAGAGCATTGTGGTCCTATGCATGGAATTGTTGGTCTAGAGACATTAATTCTCTCCTTCTTCTGTGGTCTGTTCATGAAATGTGTGTTCATGTGGGTGCTGCAAAGAAAAAGTTGGGCAGGTAAATAGATCAGGTGGTGACATGTGAAATTATGTGGGTAAAATGCTGTAGGAATTAACAGTTGCTAAATGAAAACTATGGTGAGTATTGAGACAGGCTTACACTGGGAAAGATAGTGCCTGATTATGCTGCTAGCTAAAGAGTGTCAAAAGCTTCTGTGTGTTAAATATGGCTGGCCTTTGCCACATATTTCAGAGGAGCTCAGAGGCTCTGGTCTCAAACTGAGTTAACTCTCATTCCAGAAGGAAACTAGCACTAGTGTTCTGTGAAGGCACGTTAAAACCTGTGCAGGCTGTTTAGTGTTTTTGCTAAATTATTACCATTATTCAAATTGAATTCTTTAAAGATAGCTTGTTTAGTAACAAACACAAAAAGCTCATTCAAATAAATGAGAGATAATAACAAAAAGAATAAGGATGAATGGAAAAATTGTAACACTGATCAGCCATCTAGCATAATTGCAGATATCTTCAGTGCTTATTAAAGGAAGGTGTTTGGCCATCAGAAGAGTGAGATCTGGAAGCAACCTCCTTCAGAGAATTGCAGCCAAGCTTCATAATGTGTTTCAAATAGAAACTGACAATTGAATGATGATAATGTTGATGTTGTTTCGAACCCAGTGGTTCAGAAACTCTTTTCTGCTTGCAAGACAGAGAAGCGCACGGACATCTACCCTTGGAAGAAGAGCTTGTGTGCCAGAAAATGAGGTTTTCTCTTCCCGTTTCATTCTTTCTGTACTTCATCTGGTCTAACAAAATATTGTTAGTGTATGTTGGCATAATTTTTTCTTTCCCATGTTAATACTGAACATTATGATTGTATGTTTTATCTTACTTCTGAATTTTAAGGAATTCCTACATCTGCATTTTAAGGAACACAGTTTTATACTGGTAGATATTTTTATGTAGATCATAAAATAGTCTTTAGCTTAATCATATTTTAATTCAAATTTAGTTTTACTTGAAATATCCATTCTTATTAAATAAAATTATTTATTGAATTAAATCTTAGTTGTTCCATTCTAAATGTATATACTTTAAAGAATTTCCATTTGGAATATAGAGAGATTACCTATCCCTGGAAACATTCAAAATCAGGCTGGACATGGTTCTGATGTAGCTGAGGATGTCCATGACCATGGCAAGGGCTAGATGGTCTTTAAAGGTCTTCCAAACCAAAGTATCCTATGATTTTGTCCTGCAGCATGAATTGCTAAAATAATAAAACAATGCAGTTTTCTGAGTTTTGAGGTCCTAGAAAGCTAAACTTATGGTGCTAGGTTTTAGTCTATTTGGTTAACCAGTGTATTCAAAATGTTAATGGCTCCAATTGTTTTTGTAGTTTTGATCTCATAGATTCTTATAGTGACAGTAATCTTGGACTTACATTATTTACTTTTCAGTTTATGATGATTTCAAATGATGGTGAAGGACCAAGATATGCTACTGGGCGTTTAGAACTAACTTCTCTTTGCATTCCCCACAAATGAGAGTCTGAGACACAATAATAAATGTAACAACCATAAAAAGCATAAAAGCAATTTTATATTTTATTTTATTGAATAGGATTTTTTAAGTTTTATACCCTGTCCTTGACACAGATATCTTTGGACTCCACAGCCAGCTAGATGTTATTGTAACTATATAATAGTGCTTGTGATATGAAAAGTTGTCATCTTTTATTGTCAGTGACTGTCTACAAAGTGCATGTGACAACTGGAGACCTGTGGAATGCTGGAACTGAGGCTGATATTTATATTTCTGTCTATGGAGAAAGAGGTGATACAGGATCAAGACAGCTGCTCAGGTCACAGAAACCCAAGAAATTTTTAAAAGGACAAGTAAGTGAAAAGGCATTTTTTGATATGTTTGTCTGGCTTTTCTCTCTTGGGTGGGTGGTAATTCCAAGAAAGGTGCAGTTAGAAAAGAGAGAACTACTACATTCCAATGGCTCCCCAAAATTCCCTAATTAAGTTCCAAATACTTTCTGAAGTCATGCAAGTGCTTTTGAAAGTGAGAATTTTCACTTATAAAATAGGTAAGCTGTGTACTTTTGGTTTTCATTCCTCTAAAAATTTGATCTAATAAACAAAGAGGAAATGAAATTTCATTTTATATCTGCATTTCTAATGTTGAACTCTGTTGTAATTGTAATTGTTTAGCCTTTGATGTTTTCAACAGGTTTCTCTTTCCTGACTCATCCCATTCATTTGAATGGCACTAGTCCCATAAGCAAAGTGATTGGGCTTGCTTCTACTTCTGTCTCAGGAAACCTGACCTTCCTGTTTTGCTCTCACTTTATCATCAGCTATTATTTCAAATGATGATCTGGACAAAAGTTATATTGACAAAGTTATAAGGGTTATATAAAACAAAGTCATAAGGGCTTTTGAGTCTTCAGAATTTCATGACTGAAGAATGCTGTGTATTTCAGATTTTTCTGAAATTCTGTTGGTTGATTACAGACTGACATCTTTGCTGTTGAAGCTGTGCACCTTGGATGTTTGTACAAGATTGTTATAGGACACAATGGACTTGGATCAGGTCAGAAATCTCACCTTTGCTCTACCCTTAACTATTATGTTAAGGACAGCATCTGATAGTAATTTTTTACTAATCCCTGTTAAAAACTGTGAGCAGGGGGAATGTTTTCATGTTAAGACATTGATTTTGCCTTGTATTAAAGTTAAAATGAGCTATTATAATTTTAGATGGATTAACATTATCAGTTGCACTGTAAAGATGCAATTGAAGATTTTTGTAACACTATCTTGTCATTAGACTCCCAATTAATAGTGAAACTTAAAATGCTTGCAGTCACAAGTTCTATTTTTCAAACTCTTGAACCTAAATACTAAACATAGCAACTTTGAGACATCATAAGCTACTATCTAATTTTATTGTTATTTTGATTGGCCAAACTAATAAGACTCATATGGTGGCAATGCTAAAGGAGGGAGGGATGTAGCCAGGGAGAAACCCAGCAGCTTGCAGGCCCATAAGGAAGCTCTAGAGTACCTAGAGCAGGCACTATCCTCCCTCTAGCCATGAGGTTGGCTGTGACTCTTTAAATCTGCCAGTGGAGCTGCAGATTTTGCAGTTCCAGTAGAAGAGAGAAAACTATAGGAAGTCTGTCATAATTAAATGCATCAACTTTTCTCTCATGAACAATGTTCTGTCTTTTATTTTATTTCTTCTAAGGAAATGGATGGTTTCTGGACAAAGTTGTAATCAAGGATCCTATAACAGATTTGGATTATACTTTTCTTTGTCACAGGTTGGTTATGTTTGATTTGGGTTTTAGATTTTTAATAAATTTGTAACTACTCTTAGTTTTTCTACTGAAATGTCCTGTAAGGGGAAATATGTGTTTCCTAAGAAGCGAGTTGAGATGGTCTGATTCTTTTTGCAGCTCTAAGAGTTGTATCTGGTCAAACATCTGGTCTTTGAATTAGGGAGAAAGCAATAAAGCGTTCTGTGTGAGAACTTTCCATTCTTGCACCTTTTGAACTATTCAAGATAGGCTTTTATTACATATTTTCCATATCTAAAACCTTGTATCTGACACCAAGTGGATTTGTCTGTTCTTCCATGTCATGCAATGCAAGGCTTTCCAGAAGAGTGTCTTGCTGTCTCTTGGGCAAACTGTTCCTGATTTACTGAAGTTAGTATGGAGATTAGCTTGGGGTTCACTGAGCTCAGGATCAGACTTTAACATCCTGTGAAATGACAATCACAAATGTGGATGCCTGACCACATCCCCTTTACTCATTTGCTTTGAACCTGTCACTGAGCTGCAATGTAATTTGAAGCAATCCTAACTTTCCCTGCCTTTTCCCCTGCAGATGCTGCTGCTCTGATTCTTCTGTTCTATAACTCATTTACAGTTTTATCTATGCCTGATTAATTCTCAACACCTTGTGGAAAAATCTTAATCGATAAATATCAGTACAAATATTAGGAATGGTAAAGTCCAGTCACGTAAGAGTGTAGCTGCAGCTTGCCAGTGGCACCCCAATTCTATTTCCTCCTCTCACTTCTCTGAGTGAATAAATAACTGCCCGAGACAGCCCAGAGTGAGCGATGTGCACACTGAAACTGATTTATGTGTGAGTAAGGGCTCTCTGCCTATCAGATACAGCACCTCATCCTTGCCTGACCTAATTTTGAGTCTGTATTCTAGATGAGATGAACTGCTATGAAGAGATCTATAATGTTGGCTTCATACATAATTTAGGGAGAGTTCAAATCCATTTCAGGCAGAAAAATACAGAGTGTGTGCTAGTTATTGTTAGAGCTTGATGCGGTGCTTGCTATCTTGCTCTGAGTGTGTGAATGCTTTTGACTCAAATGGAGTTAGACTTAACTTGCATAAGTAGATGTGTACAAAGGCATTGTGCAAGTATAGTTCAGACATTGTGAAAGTGTTGCCACTGTTGGGTTTGTCCCCTCGCATAGGGATTTTCAGGGCATGGAACTATTTGCATCTTGCTGTAGCCTTCTTGCAGACAGGAAGAGCAAACATCATGACCACTGCACAATTCATTATTGATCTGGGATGAATACGAGTTCTCTGATATGTAACAATTCAGTTAGGCCCTTTTACCTAGGTCTGGGAAAGCATTTATTTACGTTTCACCAAGAACAAGAAAGAAAAATAATTTTTTGCCAATGTTAATCTCTTTTTACTAAAGCTGGATTTTTGTATTGCTGTTTGTCAGCCTTGAGACTTTAATGCTTTATTTAATGAGACTTTAATAGCAAGTATTGTATAAAAGTGTCATGTATACTTTGGAAGTTACCAATAAAGGTTATTACTTAAAGGGGTTCTGGTTCTTAGGTGGCTGGATCAGGGACAAGATGACGGCAATATTTCTAGAGAACTGCCTGTGACAGATGCCAGCATGCTTCCAGGAAGTAAGTGAAAATTGGTGGGAAAGAAAACTGTCTCAAAGGAAATGAAGAATCTCTGTAAATTAATTACACTGTTTTTATCCTCACAGGACAAGAGCTGGAACTCAAGAGAGGAAAAGCTGTAAGAGTATACCCTTTTATTTTAATTTAAACCACTGAAATTATGCTTTGAGTGAAATCAGGTCAGTTGAATGCCTTGTATGACAAATTTCTGTGTATCATCTTCTTATAATTCTTCTCTGTTTGTTGTTTACAAAACTAGTGGGCTGCAGAAAAATGGAAATTTCGGAAAGGCGTTATACTTCAATTTTACAACAGGGTCACCCGTGGCTTCATTTGCCTCTACCCAGATAGCAGAGTTGATGCTCTTGGTGACAAGAAAAACAAACACGGTAAAGTATTTCCCCTGTGGATGTATGCATAAGAGATACAAGAAAGAAAGACTTTAATATTGAGATTCCTAAAATGGATAGGAGTAGATAATCATGCAAAACATTTTCCTTATTTAAAATATACATGTGTTAATAACTATAAGGACACAGAAAATATATGCTTAGTTTACACAAACACAAAAATTCTCACATGGTATCTTGCTACTGGCTTTCCTTTACCAAATTGAAAATCTTCCCATAGTCTGTAGTTTGATGCTCCCACAGAACTCACATGGCAAGGACAGCTAGAAAAAACTAGATCCATCTAAGATAACAAGTTCAAATTTAGGTAGAGTTTATTAATAAGGAGTATATATACATGTGTATATACATATATATATATATATATATATATATAATATATATATGTGTGTGTGTATGCATAAATTCATTTTATTCCATTTTTATAATATAAGCTGCATCTTACAAAACTGCAACATAATGGATTGGTAGAACAGTTGCTTAAAAAATCACTGTTGTGCCTGGGAACAATAAAAATGGCAAGAATTTGCCTTTCATCAGTATTTAGTAGCTATAAGAGTTAATTGTTTGGAAAATTGGCCAGATTTAAAATTTGAGAAGCCATGAGTTATGTTGCAGGATTTGCTTTACAAATTCTAATATGGATAGAGAAAATGAAGTCTCTTTTCTTACCTGAGAGCTTTATGTTCCCTACATCATCTGTTATTTATCATCTAAATTCATTGCTAGAGCCCAGTTCATTATGCTGGAGTTCTCAGCTCCTTTTTATGGATTTTTTTTTAAACATATGTGCTGATAAAAAGAAATTTGTTCCTTATCATTACCTCTCAGGGCTTTTCTCCTCAAGGCAGCAAAATAGACAGTAGTCCCTAGATGCCCTTTCTTGAACAAATGAGAGAATTTATTGATCAGAGAGGTCGAACTGTTGAGTTGAACACTTAATTAATTCTTTTTCCTTGAAAATTATAAACCATCAATTGCAATTAAATGCAAATATGAATTAATAGACTTTCATATTTCTGTCTTTTTTAAAAATTTAACTCTTAGGTCTTTTTCATGTAAATGTCAAAAGGAGAAATATATGTATATTCAGCAGTCATCAAATGCCATCTCTTGCTCTTGCTCTTGTCAGTGGCCGTGTAACTGGAAAGGTAGGAAATGCTGTTCCTGATTCCTGCTTCATAAAGATATGCCATTGTCTGATTAAAAAAAAGTTTTAAAAATCTGTCTAATAAATAACTGTACTTCCAATCAGATAGGAAGTGAAGAATTGCAGAACTGAACCCAGGAAATTACTGATACATAGGTGAATTTAGAGATAGGGGTTTGTTTTCTCACAGTTTACTTTTTATTTTTTGGTTAATTTATTTTGTTTAATTCAGAAATACCAGTCCATTCCAAGATGTCATTTATACTTTTTGCCACATGCTGACAAGCTACCTGGAATACCCTAATATCTCCTCTTTTCTGAAAAGGAAAAATTCTCTTGCTTTATTTTAAATGCCCCTTTTCCCTTTGTGTTTTTTATTTTTTTTCAAGTAACATGCCAGTCATAAGACAGCTGGTATAATCCAGGGTTTGTTTGGATGCATTTTGATTTGTTCTAGCACAGCTTCAAAGTTTTACTATAGCCTTTCCTCCTCAGCACTTCCAGTATACAAGTAGGTAAATGGAGCTGTAGAATTCAATTTCTTCTGATTGTAGAATCAGAGAATATCCTGAATTGAAAGGGACCTGCAAGGATCATGGAAATCTGACTTCTGGCCCTTCACAGGACAGCACCAAGAGTAGCATCACTTGCCTGAGAATGTTGTCCAAACACTTCCTGAGCTCCGTCAGGCTTGGTGCTGTGAGCACTCACTGGGAGCGCCTGTTCCGGCGGCCAGGCACTCTCTTTGTGAAGAACTTTTTCCTAATATCCAATTGGCATGACCTATCCCAGGAAATGGGAGTAATCCAGGTTCTTGTAAAGGAACGCCTTAGGGCTGGTTAGAGTGAAATGGCACTGGATGGTCAATGTGTGTAAATATTTGCACAGGGTTTAAATGAGGAGTGTAGGTGGGAATATCTCCCCTCCTGCAGTCCTCTGGTGAAAGGCCTCAGAAATGAGCCTGAGGGTGCTTTGGGAGTCTTTGATGTTTTATGACACCTGTAAGACATGATACCTGTTGCTCAGGCAGTGGAGGAACAAAAATGCAACACAAAATTGCAGTCTGCCTTATAATACATACTTAATTGTACTTTGAGGACATGCTTACTCACTTGCTTCACAACTACTTCTAAAATTCATACACTTTTCCACTCACTTTTATAGATATATTGAATCTGATAGACAGCTCTTTTAGCTTTTTTTCAGAAGGTAGTGCCTTGAAAATGAAAAGTTTTCCTAGAAATATTGATTCTTTGTAGTCTTGAAAATTCTAAGATGATGTAAATAAGAAGTATTATCAATTATTAGAGGGATTCTTAGCATTTTACATTGATCAAAATTCAGTTTTATTTAAATATGAGAATGGTGATGGGTTGATATGTTATGGGTTGAATTATTATATATTATGTATTGATAAATGTTTTGATAAAATATTAAATTACATATTTTATAAAATGGGATCACAGAGCCTGCCAAGCTGAGCAGGAAAATATGGACTGTGTTGTTTTACTCTTTCAAGTAATACTTCTGATTCTCTGAGTGTTTTCTGTGAGAGCAGTATAAATGAATGAGGGCATACACAAAGGCAAGAGAAGGTGAACTGGTGGCAAAGAGTTACCATGGCTCATTTCCTGTCTATGTCAGCTTCATACTTTTTTGCCATTTTTATAGGCTGTGATACATTCTCCAAGTGAGGCACCCAGGTATCTTTCATATTATTGCCAGATGTGTGTCATTGTACAATGAACTATTTCTGTCCACAGAGCCCACAATTTCACAATTGCAAATCTTAAAAAAGGAAAGATTTTGGTACTAGACTGCTAGTATTGTGGGAATTCGAACAGCACAGAAACTCTGTTGCGATGCTCTCTCTGTTGTTTGGATTTTGCCATATAGTTCATATAATTTATTATTCCTTCTTTAATATGTTAGGCCAAAGACAAGGCCTGTTGTGAGCTCCGTGTTCACTTACAACCAAACAGCTGTGCCATTCTCGAGTCAGCCAGCTACCCAGGTCACACCGTGGCTTTCAATCTCCAAGGCAAAGTAGCTGATGAAGCAACGGGATATGCTGGGCTTTCCAAAGAATTTGTTGTGCATGTCAAGGTAAGGTGGGAAGAGAAGAATTAGGAAGACCCTTCTAAAATTTGGTGTTCTAAAGCAGATTGTTTCTAACGGAGTTTCAGAGGTTTGCGAGGTAAAAAAAGGATCCTCTTCCACGAGGTGGAGCTCAGCTACAGTTTAACAGGTAGGCAGCCCTTGAGAAGGTTGCCTTTACTGCTCTCCCGGGATAGCGGTGCCGATGCTGCAGCTGGAACATGCAAATAGAGTGGGCAGTAACACAGAAAGATGAGACCCTGAACTTGCTAGTGAGACCTTCAAAAAGTAGCACATGAGAGCTGCTGTTGAAAAGAGACAAGTTCTTTAATTTGCCACTCTCCGTGTTCTCTGGATGTTATGCTGTGCTGACTGAGCAAGAAAAAGCAGAGATGCTGCAAGTAGGGAAGGATTTCCACTGCTCTGGTTAGTGCCTGTGCAGAAAGCAGCAAATATTCAAAGACTGGAAGTATACTTGAATTACCCGAGACTGACTCTTTTATCTTTTATGCAAAGACATGCATGAGTAAGTGCTTAAAACTAAATGGTAGGAGCAGTTTCAGTTTCTTGAATTACTTGAGACTGACTCTTTGAGTGTACTTGAATTACTTAAGACTGAGTCTTTTATCTTTTATGCAAGGACATGCATGAGTAAGTGCTTAAAACTAAATGGTAGGAGCAGTATCAGTATCAAAATTTAATATGGAGAAAAGCTGTGCTGTTCACAGAGGACTTTTTTTCTGATCTAAAGGGTGTGTTTCATCATGGTGCCATCATTCTGCTCAACACAAGTCTCTGCCAGGCTCTGTCCCTTAGATCTGATGGGAGCTGCAGTGGAGCAGGTCAGCAGCAGCAGGAATCCTACTGGAAGGTGCATAAAATCGGCTCTGGACTCTGCATGTTCGAAAGTGTGCACAAACCAAGAATGTATCTGAAGATCAAAGATGACCAGTGTGATGGAACAGTAAGCAGTTATTGTTTGTATTTCCCTCTGCAGATAGTTTGAGTAAATTGTCAGTGATAGGAGAGACTAATTTTCTTGCATAAAAACTACAGAAATCTTTGTTCAGATTAAAAATGTTTCAAATATTTTCCTTCATTTGCCAAAGCAAAAGCAGAAAAAAATATAGCAAGAGAAGGTGTTGTGTCAATTTGGCAGTTGATGGAATCAGTAAAGATCTGATTTTATTATTAAACTATTGAGAATGTGGATGTAGTTAAAACTTATGTACTGCTAGATAGATGATGCAGATAAAACCCATTAAAGAATAACTAAGATGTGAGTGACTGAATACTTCACTGACTTTTAAAGTGTGATTCTGTTAATCTAAGTTAATAAATGTAAGAAATAGTTTTGCATAATTCTTATTTGGGAGTTTAAGACAACTGAATAAGAAATTGAACTGTGTAAGTACTCAGATATAAGGTCCATGAAAGTATTTTCATTGTCTCCAGTACACTTTCAGAGATTAAAATATTTGATCCATATTTTGAATATAGGCTTTGTGAGTATCTTATTTTTCAGCAGTGCTCCCACCAATGGATCAGGAAGTCCAGATAAAAAGTAACATTGAGTAAAGGTCTTGAAATTAAACTTGTAAATCCTATGAAATTGAGGAAAAAATGTGTTACATCTATTTAATACATGCTATATTATACAGCATTAGCAAATCTGGGCTATGAATATACTTTGTATAGAGATATCCTATGTGTTCTGATATAGATATTTTCACATTCCTTAATCCTCTGGAAACTGTTTAAGTGGGAAACTCCTTTGAATATATCCTAGCCCTTGCCTAAAGCCTAACAAATCAGAATGCTTTCACTTGGTCTTTCATTTACCTAACTTATGTGATTAGTCTTTCTGGTCATAAAGGAATAAACTGGGATTAGTTGCAGGTATGTCTCTGTGTGTGTAGTAATGTATCATGTTGTGAAGAATGTAAAGTTAATCTGAAATATTATTGGAAAGTAGTAATAATTAAGACTATTAAAAAGTTTTCTAGTTACATTAATTCAATTGTTGAATTCATGTTTCTGTTATCAATTTCTTAGGGCAAGGGTGATGAATACTGTCATTTTAAAATTGAGAAGAATTTGGAAACTGGATCTGTGAGTCTGGAATCAGTGCAAAATAAAGGGATATATGTTGGTCTTCTGCCAGATGGCCAAACTAAACCAGTTGTTAACACTGGAGAGAGAAATATCTTTTTCTACCCACAGGTCATCAAATGTATGTGATTCCTCAATAGCCTATGGTTTTATTCAGTAATTACTGTTTCTAATGGACAAAATTTAAAGCAGAAGTGTAAAATATATATTGACACATTTTGCCTTGGTTTCAGTAGCTTTAAAAGTGAAAATTTTATTTTCTTTTTTTTTTTAAATTTCTCCTACATATTCAGTTAGCTTGATTCCTTTATTTTAATAATAATAATACAGGAGATGTCAATTGTTTTACTACAAAGCTTTTGAAAATGAGAATTGAAACGGGGGACAAGATAAAGACAGCATTGACTTCCTGGGTGTATTCCCCATTCTGGGCACAGATTTTGGAAGCTTGGGAAGTGTTGTCTTGCTGCCAACTCTACCACGGTTTTTCTTGATTTTATAAGGATATTAGTACACTTTCAAGAAGGCCTGGTTGGAAGTGTTCAGTTTGTTTTTTAGTGATGTGAAATACATTGTACTCCCCATCCAGAATATTCATTATATTATTCCTCTTTCCCTTAGTCAGATTTGAGAGCTATTGCTCTCAAAATGTTTCCTCAGTAGAGAGCTGATCTAATCAACTAGCCAGGACTCCGAAATTTGGTCTCAGCACACTCGGGATCACTGTCATTGGGTACCTGCTTGTCTTTTCCCCTTTCAGGAGAAAATAGTTTTTAATTTGGTGAAAAACTAGCTATGAAAGGTAGCCAACTGACTTAGATTATAACTGCAGAAAACACAATTCTACAGGAAATGTGTTCTTAACTGGTGGACTTCACAGCAGACATCAGGAAAAGAAACAACACGTGAAAAGGCTAAATGGACATCAGTTTGCACTTGAGAAGTTTCTTGGATTTTTTCCAAACAGAATCAGAACATACTTATCTTAACACAAAGAGTCTCAAAACCTACAACCACTCTTACAATTGCATATGTTCATATATACTGTTGTATATATATACAATTATACATATATACATATGTATATATGTGTACTGTGATGGAAGCATTATGAAAGTGACCACAAGCACATCCCTACTGTTCTGTCCCTGTTTGCTGCAGGGTGATAGAAATATTTTAATCGCTATGTCCTTGTAGAAATGAGGAAATTATTTTCCTTTATTAACCTTTGGAAAAGCAGTGTTTTCAATAGAAATTCTCAACAAGTCAGTGCTTACTGGAGTCATTAAATAAAGCTAAACATTACTTTGTTGCAGTCTTCAACCCTCCTGAATATTTATATAGTTGTCCACTAAAAGAATATAAAAAGGAACAAATATTTTCCATGCAAGCAATAAATATTGTTGGTCTGACATGTTCATATTAGCAATATCAATTTACTTTTTATTATTCAAATGGCCTCTAGCAATTTTCATTTCAGCATTTCCACTCTTAAGAAAACATATTGGTGGTGGAGAAGCTTATTTTGGGGAAAGCTTCATGTTAACAAGTCATTTTATTCCTACATCAATGTTAAATTTTTGCTTAGATTTTTAAAACATTGAATGGACTTTAATTGGTATGTCAGTTCTGTTCCCAGTTTTTGTAGCATTCTGCTAACAATAGAGAAAGGATTTTGATGTCTATTGTGTGGAAGAACTGTGAGATCTGTTGTTAGCTTCTGAGAAAGAAAGAGCAAATGGCTTCCAGCTAGTTACAGATTTTACATTTCATTGTTTTAGTTGGCCGGGAAAAGCCTATGGGAACATCTGCAGCACCCAAACAAGAGAAGAAAGACTTCAGAGAATCTCAAATCCAATCAGCAGAAGCCCAGGAGTCAGTACCTCAAAGGCTTTCAACTTCCTCACCCTCAAGTAAGTGACAGTTTACAAACCAGCTGTGGTACATGTTTTATGCTTGTCCTCTGTGCCTGTTTGCAGAGACTTACCTTAGGAGGGACAATGAATGGCTTTTCTAGATTATTGGATTATGCACTCAAGCACACTACATAAAATGCATTTCCATTTGCTCTTTTTCTAAAAGGAGCATTGGAATGTGGTTTATTGATAAGACAACAATCAGCAGGTTGAGTAACTTGTTAAATAACTTCATTTTTAAAAATTAATTAGTAACCTATTGATTGAATATTTCTGTGGAAATTAAGAGGTTGATATGGTGGAGAACCCTATCTAAAGCTCACTGAAATAATGGAATATTTTTCATTTATGCTCTCACACTCATGTTTTCTGCTTTATGGTTCACTAGAGGAAAGAGGAAAGTTTTGATGCATTGCATGCTAGATTTATACTTATGATTTGGCAGGTAGGAGTTAGATAAACAATGTTCTGGTCATGCTCCTAGATTCATAGTCTAGCAGATATGTTTTTCTAGAATAAAATGCTTTCTCTTTAGCTAAAGAAGTTGCTTAAATAGTCTAATACAAGAATTTTTGGTATATTCAGCATTCAGCACCAAACTAAGGAACTAAACAACAAAACAAAACAGGGACTGATACATCTCTTAAAGAGTGGGGATGATCATATTTACTTCCTGTATCTCTTATTTCAATGTACCCAAAGACCCTGACAGTCTGAATCATGTAATTTCATTACAAAAAAGCAGATGGGGTAAATGGAAACTACAGAACTGCAAATATCACATGGAGGCACAGTCACATTTTGGAAACATATCTGTTACTATGAAAGAGATTTAAAGACAAGATTATATTGCAACTTCCAGTATGAGAGACATGCTTACTCAGTTACAGGTGTTCTCAAAGGCATTTATGCAGCAAATAATTCAGGTGTGTTGCTGATTTGGTTTTGAACTTGATCTTCTGATTATTTCAAGGTATATGTGAAAAGTTTGATTATGTGAACAAGACATTACATCTGTCATCCTTGTTCATAGGGTATAATGGGAAGTATCAAGCAAGATTTTAATTAAATTCAGTTCAACCAAAGTATTCTGGTTATAGTGAATCACTATAAATACTTAATTCTTTTTGGAAATATTTTTCCATTTTTAGCTCAAAACACCCAATATCTAATCTGTCAGACTTAGTCCTGTATCACTGTGTCACAAAGCCTTCCTGAAGTGTGGTGGTTTGTCAGCAGATATGCTGTGTCTGAAACCCATGACAACAATACACAAGCCATCAAACCTGTTTTCAAAGAAGCTGGATGTTTTTAGGTTTGGATACAAAGGATCCTTTTATAGAAGCAATATCTGCCGTGAAATTGGTTACATAGAGTCTATAGCACTTTGTAAGTAGTTTTTTCAGCATTCATAAATATAGATTCTGCTCATGGAAAATGAATAGAAATATCAAAGTTACTCTGTCTTTCAAATAAAATGATCATTTTTTAGTAAGACACTTTTCACTTAACATATGTCTTTTGACATGTACAGGTGAGCCTTGAGTTTTAAACTGATATTCATAAAATTCTTACTTTCTGTTTTTCACTCACAGTTAATATTTAGAAAAGGGTGCTGCTTGTACTG